CTTCCAACTGAAATATTCTCTTCTGTTCTGTTCTGAAGATCTGCCTCCAGCCCCATGCAAGCAGCAGCCCAGCCTCTGGTTTAGGTAATCTTCTCCCAAATGCTGGCTTTTGGGCTCTGCACCGAGGCACCGGGTTTGTGCCCCGTGCCTGCAGCCGTAGGACCGGCAGCATCCAACTGCAGCCGTACTCCGAGGGCAGTGCTGCAGTGGAAGGAGTACTGCAAACGGGGGTTAAGCAGAGCAGATTACACCGGGAAAACACACTCCGCACTCCCTCTGTTTCTGCATATGTTAGTCCTGAAGCAAGCATTTCAATTAAACAAGTTTCTCTAGCTGAGTTTCCAATCCCACAGCCACTTCCACCGTCGGCTTCTTTTTTTTTCCCCTTTTTCTTTAGCTCGAGCAGAGGGAGGAGGAGCTGCAGACACAGAGAGGAGTGCTAATTAAACAGGGAGTTCCACATTAGGGTACAAATCCTCTGGACCAGCACAAACCCTGCCAATTTCTGTATTTATTTATTATTTTTTCAGCACAATTGTAATTTCCAGCGGTGCCTCCAGCACTGGGAGAGAGTTCAGGGGCTGCTCTCAGAGAGGATTAGCACGCTGGAAGCATTATTACTTTCCTTCGCTGTGAATTCAGGAGTGATTCCCTGATGGCTGCACTCTATATAGAAGTGAATCGGTGCTAATTTGTTTTTGAGGATCACACATCCACCAACATGTGAAAGACAATCCTGCCTCTCGATGTATATTTCGAATCAGTGCCACAGCAAACAATGGAAAATAAGCAAGCAAAGGAAGCCAGACCTCCCTTGCCCGGAAAGCCAGGGCTGGAAAAGAACAGACTTTAATTTTTTCTGATGCCCGTGTGAGCTGGTGCTGTGCCTTTCCAGGAGCATTTTGGGTTTTGGCTGCGCTGCCCGTGGCGATGGGCAGCAGGGGCTGGGGCATCCCTCGCATGGGAAGCCTCAGGGACGCCGCATGGACGGGATGTCAAAGAGACTGAGCATAAAAGGCTCCCTTTTTATTTTTTTTTTTCCTTTTAAATCATCCTCGAGTTTAACTGCAAGAGAGGAATAAATTAACTAATGGAATCTGTAGCGACGGAGGGGCCGGGCACCTGGCGGGAGAGCGGCCGCCCCGCCACCCAGCGCTCCTCTCTGTAGTTGTGTGATTCAGAGGGACGCGGTCCGTGGGGAGATACCAGAGCCGGCTGAAATGGAAGACAAAGCTATTGTTTCAAACAGAGTTATTGATTTTTACATTATTACACTATGAAATTTATGGTCTGGTTTCAAACTGCAATAGGAGTTAATGACCACCATCCAGAAACTTCCAGGTGACCTTGGCCTTGACTTTGGCGGAGGAAGGTGAATAGCTCCAGATACCGGGTCAGCAAACGTAAAATGAACTTGCGACACCCGAAAGGACTTGATTTTTGGGTGCTGCTGACCCCAGGTCTCTGCCCCGAGCTTTAGCTCACGGCAAACTCCAAGCTGGTCGCCAGCAGTGATGGAGGGGGGGAAACGGGACCTTCTCGGCTCCAGACAAAAGCCACTTCTGCTGTTAAGCAACATTTTGCTCCTTTGAAGCAGCGTGATGTCCTCAGAGCTCCCGAGCACGGTTCTCCATCCTCAACCGCCCGCCCGGCGCAGCCTGGCTGACCAAGGGTTTGCTCCGGTCGGTCGCCGCTGGAGAAATGCAAACCGGGGGCTGGGGGATGGCTGAGGAGCACCGGGGAGAGGAGGCAACGCAGCCCGGAGCAAGAGGAACCCCGTACGAGGGGAGAGCAACGGGCAGTGCCCGCAGAGCAGGCAGCTGCCTGCAAAGGGCTTGGCCCATTCCCGGTGCCGGCTGGCTCTCCTGTCCCGGCCGCGCAAGGACGATTTGCTTTTTAACGCTGGGGCTACCAAACCGGGGTCAGGAGGACGTCCAGTTAACACGCGCGATACTGGTGCTACAGAAGGTTCGCAGGGGCTGCAGCACTCCCCAGTCCAAAGCCTTTTCCTGGCTTTTCTTTAAAAGGTGCCACCCAGCGCATCTTTTGGCACCAGCCTCTTCCCAAAGCTTTCCTTAGCAATATTCCTTCCAAATTTCCTTGTATGCTTCTTCCTCTGGGAACAGTCTTTCCACTTGCCAGCAAAGAGATGCCATTTCCAGCTGCCGGAGAAGGATTTTTTCTTGTCGTACCTTCTCCCTGGAACATCCCTGACGCTGCACCCTGAGCTGAAGTTGTGTGAAGCCAGTAGCCTCCAAGCTCATCTTCTGCCTCGGAGGTCATAATTGCCATTAAATCACAGCTTGCCTAACCAAATTATGCAAAACCGAAATTATCTCCAATGATTTTTATGTTGCTGAAATGTTCCAGAACTGCCAGGGTGATGACTGGGGGATTGGGAGCAGCTGTCACTCCATCAGAAACCGTAACTCCAAACAGCTGGGATCTGTCAGTTATTTATGACACCGCTCGCAAAAAAAAAACCCACAAAAAAGATGAAGGTGGATGGGTGGTTGCCACTCTCCGGCTGAAAGGCAGCTCGTGCAGAAAGCAAAGCCCCGTGCCGCGTCCCGGCGCCGGGAGCTGCAGCCGACGCTGCGGGAGCAAACCCCGCGCGGCTGCTCCTCCTGCCGAGCCGCAGCGCAGCGCCTACAGGGCTTCGCAGAGAGGCCGAGAGCAAGCTGCTGCTTGCTGGGGAATTCAGTCTTTGTGACAGTCAGGACGGGCTTGTTTATTTTATCCTCTCTGTTGCAAAAAAAAGAGGAAAAAAAAAAACCCTGCACCTGCTAAGCACGGGTCTGACACCGCTTTGTTGAACTGTCCCAGATCTGCAGTGCCGCCCTCGGCTCCCGCCCCCGCGCTCTTTGTGAACCTGTCCCAGATCTGCAGTGCCGCCCTCGGCTCGCGCCCCGTTGCTGCCACTGCTCCCGCCTTGCCCTTCGTCGGCCTTCACTTGGCAGATGAAACTGTGAACAGTGGAGGCTTCTTTTTCTCCCGAAACAACAGTTTCCCTCTGTGGCGGTGCGAATGTCCCACTCCGAGTTAGTTCCCAAGTTTCAAAGTATGTTTTCCCCTGGGGTCGCAGTCGTGTCTCTGTGCTCCAGTTCACCGGGGCGGATTTAGAAAGCACCCTGTGATGGATCCGGCCTTCACTTGGCAGATGAAACTGTGAACAGTGGAGGCTTCTTTTTCTCCCGAAACAACAGTTTCCCTCTGTGGCGGTGCGAATGTCCCACTCCGAGTTAGTTCCCAAGTTTCAAAGTATGTTTTCCCCTGGGGTCGCAGTCGTGTCTCTGTGCTCCAGTTCACCGGGGCGGATTTAGAAAGCACCCTGTGATGGATCCAGGGTGTGAACGGGCAGGAAAGTCTCTCTCTGGAGCCTGTTGACAGCGCGGTGGTGTTACCCCGGGTGTGAATCTGGCCGCAGAAGAGGGTGAGTGATGAGTAAGCTTCTGCCTGGTCTGTAATACCGGCTGCGAGCAGAAGCCAGATGCTTTGTCCCCACTTGTAGCTCGCTCTGGTTAAGTATTATTATTTATATTATGTAGTAGCTATACATAGTGTTTTATGGCAGTAAAGATACATAAATCAGCAGCCAGAAGACGAGGGCTTTGCTCTAAAGAGCTTATAAATCTAACAGCTTGAGCAGCACCGGTAATGGACACAGCAAGCAGGCAGTCAAGTTGGATGTAGACATGAGCTAAGATGGGTCTCCCAAAGCAGATGGCGGTTCAGGAGAGATTTGAGAGAGAAGCAGCCTGCTCCATCCTCGAGAGCAGATCCCACCGGAGAATTAGACGGGCCGTGACCCACGTAGCCGGGCCGGGAGGCGAAAGCGCCCGCCTGAGAACAGCAGCTGGCAGAGGGACCGGGCAGGGGCTGGCGAGGGCTTGTGGCAGGGCTGCCTGTTGGGGGGCTCTGCAGGTGCGTCCCCGGGGCTGAAGCATCTACTCTTGTCCTAAGGGATTCTTCCCCTTGAGCCTGAGACTCCCCCTGAATATCAGTAGCATTACATCTTCCTAAATAAGCCAAGGCTCTGCCTTGCTCCAAGACACAGTACGGCGTTAAAAGCCTCGAAACACGGGCGAACTGCCGGCACAGGTACGTGCCGCTCCCTGGACCGAGCAGTGCCGTGGGGACAGGCTGCCTGCAGAGCGGAGCCGAGGCCAGCATCCCCGCCGCGGTGGCAGAGAAGTGCTTCGAACCTTCCCCCCCCGATCCCGGGTATCAAACCGGCTTTTATTTTTTTTTTTTAATTTCTTCCTGTGCTGGCACCGGCCCGGGAAGAACCTGGTCTGGGCTGGAGAGGGATGTGCTGTGTCTGGCCGAGCACGCTGGCTCCGGGTGTCTGCATTCTTCTGGCCGCTTTCAGCTCTTGCACAAATTGAGGCTTCACGCTAAATGCATTATGCTGTATAACAATTAATCCCATGCTACATATAGAAAGTCCTTACTCATCAATAATGCATGCGAGAGGAGTGATTTTCACTCTCGGTAATAAGGCTAAGACAATGGAAACAAGCAGGTAATGGAGAACATTTATAATGATGTTAATCTAATAATGAGTCTAATGCTGTTAAAAGTAAGACTGCAAACTGGACGCATCCAAAGATAAATTATTTCAAGCATTCATTAACTGATGTCTAATTAATGCCCAATTAGAGAGATGCTACATGGGAAATGGCTTGGACAGTCGGACAAATTCATTCCAATCACTGAAACCTCAGTCAAAAGCAGGAGGCGGCAGCGGCACACGGCGAGCAGGAGCCGGGGTGACACAGCGCATCAGAGGGAGAAAGGCAGGGGATAAACACCTCCTGGCTGGGTTTATCGGTGTCGGCAGGGCTTTGTTTTCATTCACTTCACCGGCAGGTTTCTCTAGGATTTTTCCGTGCCGCTTTCGAAGCTCTCCCTCCCTGGTGAGCTCCGACACACGTGCTGGTGACCCTCCATCTGCCTCACACCCTTTACAAGGTGAGGTCAAAAGGGCTGTGTCAGGAATGACGAGTTCAACCAGTTAGGCAGGGTCTAACTTGCTGGAGCCAGGCTGGGGCCTCCGGGAGGCTCCCACCAGTGCTTTCCAGCCTGGGAAGCCCAGCGAGACCCATGGCTGCTGGCCATCACGATGCTGGTGTAACCAGCCTCAGCAGCTCCATGGCTTCCTGACCACAGCCTGTTTGTTTCCAGAGGGTCTCATACCTGGATCTGAACTGTGGCCAAGAGGGCATCCCAGGAGCAGCTTCTCGCAGCACTAGGCTATCGGCAGGTTTTATGGGCTCGGAGGGAAAGCATCCTTGATGAGACCACGTGCCCATAGCGCATCCACGTGTTTCCTCTTTCCAAGTCCTGCCCACCTAATCATTATTTTTTCTAAGCATCCATCCTTCTGTTTTCCCATTCTCCTTACCCCCAGGTTGCAGCACGTAGGTAGAAAGACATCCCTGGCTTTTCTCCCTCCCATCCTACTCTCAGGAAGCCGAGAACCAGAAACACCCCAGGCTACCCCCACTGCCATGCACGGCCGCCGGAGTCCCACCTCCCTCTCCGCAGGAACTCCAGCCCTTAACTCACAAGCGCCTGTTAATTAAAGAGATGGACTCGGTTCTCTTTGACCTTTACCTCCGGAGTTATCCCTGCAGGCAGGGAGCCGCTAAACACCGTGCTCCCTTTCGGCAGGAGCCTCTACCTTGGCCGTGCTCCAGGGAGACCCAGGCTGCCTTCGTCCATCGCCGCGCATTGCTAACAGCCGCCTGTCATCACCATCCCTATACGTGAAATCGAGTCTGCTCCGAGATCCCTGCCCGGCTCCACCTCCCGTCAGTAATCCCATTAGCCTGGCAACTGTCGTGTCACGGAAGAGCACATAAAACTGTTTGGAAGCAATATGTAATCTTCCAACCTGCTGCTTATAGCTGGGAGATGGTTTATTGATTCAGACCCTTGTGATTTGGTATTTGCAATAACAGACTCCGCATGTGGGAGATCGTCACAGCACTTGTGCCTGGCAGGATTTTACTAATAAACATAAGACCTACAGAAGGCTTCGTACTTCAGTGTCACCGAGGTAAGACAGGGAACGTGAAGCCGTTCCACCTCGGCGAAGCACATCCATAGGTAAAGAACCCAGCAGAATGTATCTGCAAATGTAGCTTTATCTTCACTGTTGTTTCCTGGCCCTCGGATAATGGCAATATCCTCGGGATACCGCTGTTTCCCAGGCTGCGCCTGCACGGCGAGTTGCAGCGAGGGCTCCCGTTTTGGCAGGGAGCGCTCGATAGTCAGCGCCGGCACGATGCTCCCACCGGCGCAGCCCCTCTCTCCTCGCAAAGGCACGACAGCAAAGCCAAAACGGCACGGCGGTGACTTGGAGAACGTTCCTTTTCCTACACAGCCGTAGGAGTTGTTGCAAATTAAACGTTCCCGACTTGCAGCCCCTTTCTGGCAGCGGCGCAGGAATGAGACATCCCTCCTGGTAGCCGATGCTTAATTTCTGACGGGCAGTGCCTGGAAGAAGCCCCCCCTTCTCATCGCAGCCAAGGCTTGGTCCAACGCTTTGGCTAGCGATGCTATTTTTTTTTTTATTAACAGCCCAGTCAGAGATGACTGCCTCCTACTAGTGATGTATGGAGAGTCTGAATAACCCAGTTTATCTGAAAATGTGACAACTTTGCCTTGAAAGGATGGGTCCAGATGGACGGGTCACCTGCTGTTAACTATACGGTAATAGATCTCCATACCAGGCAAAAGGCAACGGTGACCACGGAGTTGTATTTCAAACACAATAAGAAAACAGCGAGGGTTTTTTGCCTCCCACTTGTATTCAGCTGTAGGCGCTGAAAAGAGGGACTGTAAAAGCCCAAGGGGTCCAGGCTCATGGACTTGCTGGTGATAACGACGTGGAGTAATTAGAGATGAACTCCACTTCCACTCTCGTTTTTCAGATTATTACAAGCCGAGTGCGAGGCGAGGACTCGTGGGCAGGACGGCAGCGGCAGCTGCGCGCTGCTCCGATGCTACTCCTTTCCCCTGTAAAGTCCGGAGGCAGAATTCATTAGACATGAGCAAATTTTGCGTGTAAGAGGAAAAAGCCAAATCTAGGAGGAAAATCTGAATGAGGAATGACAAGTCTGGTGCAATGAGACTGAAAAGCCACTCAGCGCAGAAGGAATAGCCTGAAAGCAAGCCTGGTGCGAGGAGTGGGAGCGAGACGGGAACGGGGCGGCGAAACCGGCTCTCAGAGCTGAGCAGAGGGAGGGGATGATTACTGCCTTGCTCACTGCTTCTTCTCCGCGGCGAGAAAGCCCCGGTCACAAGCACATACTGCAGCATTAGAGGATGCAATATGCTTTGCCACAGGACATCCATTTAAAAATATGTCTGAGCATCCCACTTCCAAACCGAGTTTTCAGCTCAGCCTTTTCCGCCAACTGCTGACAACATATTTTCCTGTAAATCACTTGGTTTTCGGGGTGGATGGTGGTGTCTAACAACTGTAGGAAAAGAAGACGGCAGGGATGGGTCCGTGCCTTCGGGGGAGCTGGGTGCGCTGTGCAGACGTGCTGCACAAGTGTAATTTTAGGTGATTTCGCTGGGAATTACTAAAGCTTTTCCTCTCCAATACGTAAGCGCGGGCAATTTGAGAGATGCGTTACAGGAGGGGTGGGCACCTATGAGGGTTCGCAGCTCCTGTGTTTGCTCTCGCACATTTGTACAACTGCCTTGCCCCCGACTGCGCTGCCTGCCTGCAGGCAAAGGGCTTTGCTGCCTGCACTGCCAACGTGAATTCCCCCGAGAAAGTTTCTCCTGCCTGGCTGGGGCTGGGAGCACAACCGCCTGCCTGTTGCAGGCAGGGCGAGGAGGCAGGGAGTGCTCCACACCTCACGTTCAAACTGCCGTGTGACGGGCCCGCTATCAATGCCGCATGGGTAATTCACGAGCGGAGAGGAGGGCTGAGTTAACCGGGGGCGTTTTCCACCCGGAATAGTCCCCACGGCGGCGATGGGTGGGCGGGGGGTGCCCGAGTCCCCGCTGACGTCGCTCTCCCCTCTCTCCGCACAGGGGGGTTTGCAGAGCTGCTCCTGGTGCTGCTGGGGTTGAAGGTGCCCGGCGCCCTGGGCTGCCCCACCGACTGCGTCTGCTACCCGTCCCCGATGACCGTCAGCTGCCAGGCTCACAACTTCGTCACCATCCCCGAGGGCATCCCCGAGGACAGTGAGAGGATCTTCCTCCAGAACAACCAGATCACCTTGCTGCTGCGGGGCCACTTCAGCCCCTCCATGGTCACCCTCTGGATCTACTCCAACAACATCACCTTCATCGACCCCAACACCTTCGACGGGTTCGTCAACCTGGAAGAGCTGGACCTGGGGGACAACCGCTACTTAAGGGCTTTAGCTGCAGACACTTTCCAAGGGCTGGTGAAACTCCATGCCTTGTATCTGTACAAGTGCGGGCTGAGCTCCCTCCCCAGCGGGATATTCAGTGGCCTCCACAACCTGCAATACCTGTACCTGCAAGACAACCACATCGAGTTCCTTCAGGATGATATTTTTGTTGACTTGGTTAACCTCAGCCATCTTTTTCTCCATGGAAACAAGCTCTGGAGCCTCCATCAGAACACGTTCAGGGGACTAATAAACCTGGATCGGCTGCTCATCCATCAAAATCAGCTGCAGTGGATTCACAGGCGGGCTTTTCACGACCTCCGAAGATTGACCACCCTTTTCCTGTTCAATAACAGCCTCTCGGAGCTGCAGGGGGACTGCCTGGCCCACCTGGGAGCCCTGGAGTTTCTCAGGCTGAACGGGAACCCGTGGAGCTGCGACTGCAAAGCCCGTTCGCTCTGGGAATGGCTGCACAGGTTCAGAGGCTCCAGCTCCAGCGTCATCTGCGAGTCCCCCGAGCAGATGCACGGCAAGGACCTCAAGGTGCTAAGAGCAGAAGACTTTAGGAACTGTTCGGGGTCCGAGTCACTCCATCAGATAAAAACACATACTTTCTCCACAGCGGACAGAGGAGCCTCCAAAACCCACCACCCCCACCACTCCTCCAAGGAGAAGGGGAAGGAGAGAGGGGCCAAGGACAGTTTGCACAGCAGCCAGCCCGCCGCCCACCCCAGCTCCCGGCCGGGCTATCGCAAACCCGGCAAGAACTGCACCAGCCACAAAAGCCGTAACCGAACCTCTAAACCGGTATCCTTGGGGCCGCGGAAAAACGGGCAGGAGGTTCCAGACTATGTGCCTGATTATCAGCACAAATTCAGTTTCGGGGCGATGCCAACGCTCCCCCCCAGGCGCAAGGGTAAGTGCACCCGGCGGATGCCCATCCGCCCCCCCAGCGGGGTCCAGCAGGCAGCCGGCTGCGCGGGGCTCAGGGCGTCGCTCCTGGTCTTTATGATGGTGTTAGCGGCCGTCATACGCTGAGCCCCGGCTGCGGACGGAGCGAGTCTGTACTGCCACCAATCTACAAAGGACCAGAGTTTCTTTTCTTCTTCTTTTTTTGTACGTGGCGAGCGTTGGCCTGGCGAAGGGAAGAATGTTGTCTCGGCTTCTGACGGTCTCTCCGCGCCCGGCCAGGCTGCCAACGCGGACTGTGCCGAACGCAGCGGGAGCAGATTAAAAGGCATTATCACACCTTGTCACAAACAGCCTAACCGAGCACCTACAACAAAAAAAAGCCAACCTTACAAAAACCCAGAAAACAGGGATGGTAGCCAATTCGTCGGTGACAACAGCGGGACAAGTGGACTGTACCCATGCTCTTGTGAAATCCCGTTCATTTGAGCGCGCTCTGAGCGACCCCTCCAATTACCGAAAGGAACATAATTGCTGTAAAAACGATCACCAGTTAAGCCTACACCGTTTCTCTGAAAGCGAGTGCGAGGACACTGATACCGATGTAGTACGGACATTGGTTCTCCCGCGTTTTAGCCCTTTTGGCTCCAAACCCAGAGGCCAAAGTTGGCTGGGAATCTCTTAGAAGACAATCTCAAACCCCTGAATATCTCAGGCATTACAGCAGAACAGGGCTTGCCTGCTGGGCTTGGAGTAGCCAACAACCAAAGGAAAGACTGATTAGAGGTGGAATTAAACAAAAAAACCCCAACAAACCCAACACTTAAAGAAATGAGGTACCCGCAGGAGGTGCGTTTTTTTGTAACCATGTTCACACATCTGAAAAAAACCCAACAAATGCACCGGCTCCCCCCTCCCCTCAATTATCCATGTGTATGTCTTATAATGTTTATAAACTATATGGAAACTATATCTTCAGAACTAAGGATTGTATTGTTGAATTTATAGCAGACCAGTATATGATTTTTTTCTCAAGAAAACAAACCGGCAGCAGTGCCTACAGATGCTGAAAGCCATCGGGCGGGCTCAGTGCGCACGGGGGAACCACAGCGGACCAATGTTCTCAGCAATTCAGAGCACTAAACTTTGGGGGGGGGGGTTGTATGCAATGCAGCGAAGTCCATATCCAGAGAGCCAGAACTCACCCTTACATCCTAATTTGTAACTGGGGGGGGGAGAGAGATTAATTTGTCCAAATAAATAGAGCCATAGAGCTCTGTCTCCGGAGAGTGCTGCGAGGCCCCGGGGAGGCGAGGGGCTTTTTTGGGGCTGGAGGCAGAGAGAGGCTTCCCAGCCGCGTCGGTGGCGTGAGGACCTTTATAGCTGGACTAAGGTTTTCACTGGGGCAGCAAGGAGCAGCTCCCAGGCTGCAGATAGTCCTGACAGCGTCAGGAGGTGTTTCGTTTCTTAAAAGGAACGGGTTGCGTCTCGGGAAGAGTCAGAGAAGGGGGAAACTACAGCTCGTAGAGGACCGGCGAGAAGCGCAGTGCCCAGGGTTTCTGTTCCGCCGTAGGAGGGAAAAATAAATGGTCCAAGACAGCCGTAGGAAGGGGGTTGTGGCTAGGTGGAGGAGAGGGAGCAGATCCACGTGTTCCTCTCGTCCCGAATTAACCCCCGCGGAGGAGGGATGCGATTGCCGGTCGGGGGCACGGCAGAGCTGGCGGCATTGCCAACAGCAGCCCACGGGCGCGGGGCGGCGCTGCCCAAATTCTGCAGTTGGTGTGAACTCCCCGTCAGCGTGGACATGTGAGACCAAACAGACACTGAGGTTAATGAAACAAGGGAAATAAAAGTGATCTTGGACGAGAAAAGGCTGCTGTTCATTTCATAACGACATCCCAGCGGCGGCACACTTCTAGCCCGTAGCTCACGTCTGGGGCTGGAAAGCCCAGAGCATCGGCTCGTGTTTTCCCTCAGACACACCACTACCTTCGGGAAGAACGGGCCAGCTCGGGCAATCTGCGCTCCCAGCCTCTTCGGGGATGGGGAGGGGGTATTTACACAGCGGCAGATCCCCGGAGGTACCTGAAAATGAAAAGGGAAACTCCCAAGCAAAAAAAAGATGACAATTCCCCGATGCGCTTATTTTTGAGAGCGGCGGGGTGCTGGGAGCGGGCAGCTGGGGGGGCACGGTGTCTTCTGTCCGCCTCGCAAGCGAGGAGGAGCAGGGGCTCGGGTGCTTCACCTTTAAATAAATTCCCCGTCTTGGGGAATGGCAGGAGTGACTCTGGGAGGAGAAAGGAAGAGGTTACTTCATCAAGCCCTCTCCCTTCCAGCTCCTACCCAAACTTTTCCGTCTGCAGGGCTCTAAAGCTCCACTAAAGGGATGTCCAATGCAGCCAGAACAAATAATCCGTGATCTGAAATAGCTCCCTCATGTCCTACTCTCTATAACCAATAGCAACTGAATGAGTCTGGCACTGTCCCTTAGAAGTGGAGAATGTTGTTATGTTGGTTATTTCGTTTCATACTCTGGAAATCAAAGCGCTCAGTGGGAGAATGAAGAAGAGAAGCACTTTATTAATTTTTTTTAAGTCTGCGTGTAACTCCTGTAATATAGGAGTGAAATGTCAGCACAGGAGATGCTAATGTTGTATAAATGATTTGGGTGCAGCAGGCACGATGGATAGTCTTTGAGATGAATTATATTAGAACAGACTACGCCTGGCTCAAAACCATAATTGTATTTTTAGTATCTTTTCCTTTAACATGTAGGAAAAATAAAGGCAACTCCATGGTGTATCGCGAGCCTTGTCAATCAAGCGCTCTAACTCCTAGCGATGAAGGCTACTGTTTAAAAACCAGAAGGGAGAGATGATACGCTGCTAAAGAGGAGGTGTCACTTGACATGGACCACAGCTTTCTGGTGTTCCTCCTGCCTTCCCCTTAGCTGCCGTCCCTCCCCGCGCCCGTCCCTCCTCCGTGACCACAGCTCTCTGAGGATAAACTAAATTTTTATGGCATGCTCTGACGCTGAGCCTCAATAACTAACTTCCCACCTGCATGGTTCAGCTCTACCACAGCCCCTGGTTCACTCTCGTGTGTTTTTTCCCCAATCCCTTCGTACAGCATGTCTTCATGCATTTTGAATGTTGCTCTGAAGGCTGGCACAAATCCCCTCTTCTCCGAAGCAGCACTCCCACCACCTCAGAGCAAACATCTCTGCGGTCGAGCAGACGCAGGTATGACCACGGCTTGCCAGAGCTAGGCTGGCTCAGGCTGGAAATAAGTTGGAGAAGTTTGAGATTCAATTAGAATCACTCCCAGACACCAAAAGTTGGACGGGGAGGTGCCTGGGGTGAAGGGCTGAGCCCCCGAGGAGGTGGGAAGCACCACGGCCCCTTTGCTGGGTGGTGGTCCACATGCTCCCGTTTGGCCACACTGGGTCAATGGGCCGCGGCCAACAGGATGAGGTCCAACAAGGCTGAGTGCTGGTCCTGCGCTTGGGGCACAACCACCCCAGGCACCGCTGCAGGCGTGGGGAGGAGCGGCTGGGAGCTGCCCGGTGAGAAAGGGCCTGGGGGTGCTGGTCGACAACTGGCTGAACATGAGCCAGCAGTGTGCCCAGGTGGCCAAGAGGGCCAATGGCATCCTGGCTTGTGTCAGGAACAGTGTGGCCAGCAGGAGCAGGGCAGGGATCGTCCCCTGTGCTGGGCACTGGTGAGGCCGCCCCTCGAATGCTGTGCTCAGCGCTGGGCCCCTCACCCCAAGGCGGCCATGGAGGGGCTGGAGCGTGGCCAGAGCAGGGCAGCGAGGCTGGGGCAGGGGCTGGAGCCCAAGGCTGGGGAGGAGCGGCTGGGGGAGCTGGGGGGGCTCAGCCTGGAGAAGAGGAGGCTGAGGGGAGCCCTCATCGCTCTCTGCAACCGCCTGAAAGGAGGCTGGAGCCGGGGGGGT